GACATCTTCGACCTCCGATGACTCGGGGACTTTGCTTGAGCCACCCTCCGAAATCCCTTCGGTCTGAGGTTGAACTTCTTCGACCATCACCGGCTCAACAGCCTTTGGGACCTCGGCGATCCTCTTTCGAGCCACCAGCTCGTAGCCAGCGTCTTCTTTCTCCTCTTCTTTATCCCGTAGCTACTGAACTACATTTCAGACAAGGCGGCGGCATTTTGCTTTGACTTTCAAGCCTTGTTCTTTTTAGGCTTTGGAGTATCGGAAGGCGAGAGCCTTTTCCTCTTCTTATCCTTAGCCGGCTTCGGGGCCTCCTCTTCCCCAGGTGGGGACGGCCTCATGACAGCATTATCTTCGAGACCTGTATGGGAGGAAGTCAAGTAAAAATAAAAAGAAACATCTCACAGAAGAGCATTAAACACGAGTAAAGAAGCTTATCGTGATTCTTGGCCTCCCATCGGCCCTTTGCCAAATCGCACCACGAGCGCTCGGCATATGAAGAGGTCGAGGCCAGTTTCCAAACCCAGCCTTCAAGGTTCGGGATTGCACCAGGCACCCAAAAAACTGTTGCGTCATAGGAAAGGACGTCAATAAGAAAAGGCAAAAGAAACAAAACGATAAGTAGAAGATATAGGTGGGTTTATACTTACGCTTCATGTTCCACTCTTCGGGGAACGGCATCTTCTCGGCCGGAATTATGTCGGAAGTCCTCACTCGGACAAACCGGCCCATCCATCCTCGGTCCTTGTCCTCATCTATGCTCGAGAATAGCACCTTGGTGGCCCGACGCTGAAGCCTTATTAATCCGCCTCGATAGAGACGGGGGCTGTACAGTCTAATGAGATGGTCGAGGGTAAAAGGCATCCCTTCGACTTTGCTTACGAAAAATCAAAGCAAAATGACGATGCGCCAGAAAGAAGGATGGGTCTGGCCCAGGGTTATTTGGTATTGGCGGTAAAAATCGAGGATAACAGGGTCAACGGGACCCAGCGTAAAAAGGTAAGTGTAAACACTTAAGAACCCTTTCGCGTGAGTGGTGATGTCCTCTTCGGGGGTTGGAATCACCACCTCCTTGTTTTCCCAATGGCACTCTTTTTTCACTTGATCAAGGTCGCGCTCAGTTATCGAGCATATGTATCTCGACATTGGCTCACATCGGCCAGATACCGACGAGGGTTTCTCAACTTTAAAGTCGGAAGTAAGATCGCATGACCCAAGAACACACTCTTCGATGCGTGGCTCCACCGGCGTTTTATCGCCGGCCGGCCGCGATGAAGAGGCTTTTTCTTTTTGAGGAACAGTATTCGATATTTTCGCCATTTTTATATGAGTTCAGAGAAAGAAGAAGATAAAACGTGTTGTTTGATGAGAAGATTGGCAAACGGGATTTGAAGAATTGAAAAGCTTGAAGGGAGAAGAAGTTCTTTGAATATTAGAAGAGATTTTGGAAGTAAAGTTTGAGAAAATTATAAAGATGATCTATTTTTAATATTTGCAATGACGGTTCAAAGACACTAGTGGCCGACCATCAACTGGCGCTAATTAATGATCTTGGGAACCGCACCGACGCGACGCTTCGGTCGTTTCTGTCGCTTACGTCACAAGAGTGACATCATAACTGGGCGAAGTATAAAATCAAACGCTCAGTTCGTTTCTTCTCATTACACTCCAAGAATCGAGGGGACTATCTGTATACGGTTAAGATCGGGCTTGCCCGATCTTGCTATTTAATCGAGACCAGGGGATCGCGTTGAGGGTCGGCCTCGTAATGAATCGGGCCAGAGTACGAAGACGAGGTGTCAAGTTCAAGAATCGAGGTGCCCGTCGAGATCGAGCCTAGCAGCGATCGAGACTAAGTGTTACCGACTTCGAGTGAGGTGCAATAACGGAAAGGCGAGATATCCGTAACCGGTCGGAGATCACGGCGAAAATCCCGGAACAGATCAAATCAAGGGTGATTATTCGTACCAATCATGGAATTTACTTCCATAATAGGATTGTACCATAATTAGGATTCCTCTAGTATATAAAGGGGAGTCCCCATCATTTGTAAGCACCTTACATCCACATAGATCAAAGCAATATAATATTCTCTCTCTATTACGTTCTCTTGTTCATCAGTTTGTTGTTTTTTAACTGTTCTCGCTCTACTAGCTCGAGGGTATTCCAACTCGAGGGCTTTGTTTAAACACTGGTTCGCTTTACGTTATTGTCAATTTCTATTGCTTATCTTCACATTTCTCAATTAACATTAAGTGAAATCACATATCCTTAAAACCACATTACAAGTTTAATTGTTACTCAATTTTTTGGGTAAACATAAGAACTTGACAAGCTTCGCAGGCTGTGTCAATCAGTATTACTTGTTTGATTAATGCAAGACAACGGGGTAGCTGTCATTTCGCTTTCGAAGATCAATCAGGCACCTACTATATTAAGTAATGAATAAAGACGATAGATTTTATTACTGTGTTGTTATTATTAGTAGTCATGATTGTCACTTGTCAAATGCCTTGCTCAATTATAAATACCATAATTATTGATAAGGCATCAAATTAAATATTCTTCTTAATTATACACCTGATTGTTTGATTGGATTACTCACATGTATGCATGTATATGTTTTGCTTTGTACAGTGATGAGAGAATCTAACCAGAAATATATGGAGTATATTATATTGTGAAGCACATGGTGGAGTTTGTCGTTTGTGAGACACATTTCTGTCTAGAATACTTTATATATGTAACTTATATGAACATATTCTGATCCATGGTCAAAATTTTCAATTCAGCTTAGGAAAAATGAAGAAGTAACGTATCACACAATGAGAATAGTAGCGTTTGATAAATAAGAAAGGGTGAATTAGAAGGGTGTCTTTAGTATGTATCAAAGACTTTTTGGCCATCTCCGCATTATAACATCAGTGGCAATAATGTTGATGCAGAATTAATGGACAGCTCTTAGAAGCCGCGAACGGTCACGACTCAAAAACTTGGGAATCGACACATTTATTAAATTCATTAGGTAGGAGCTGCGTTATAGCCTGTTTGGCCAAGCTTTTTTTTGGGCCAAAAGTGCTTTTTTGGTTAAAAGCACTTTTGGCCAGAATATGAGGTGTTTGGCCAAGCTTTTGGAGGGGAAAAAAAAATGCTTTTGAGGAGAAGCAGAAGCAGAAAAAAGTAGCTTCTCTCCAAAAGCACTTTTCTGAGAAGCACTTTTGAGAAAAATACACTTAGAAGCAGTTTTCAAAAGCTTGGCCAAACACTAATTACTGCTCGAAAGTGCTTTTCTAATTAATTAGCCAAACACAAACTACTTCTCACCAAAAGCACTTTTTTTAAAAGTACTTTTGAGAAAAGCACTTCTCAAAATAAGCTGATTTTAGAAGCTTGGCCAAACGGGCTATTAGTCTATCTAGCCAAAAAAGATTGCGTCGCTTTCAAGTGATTTCAAACAATGTTTATGTACTCCCTTCGTTTCAATTTATGTGAACCTATTTTCTTTTTGGTCCGTTCCAAAAAAGAATGATCCCTTTCTAAATTTGGAAACAATTTAGCTTAAACTTACAATTTTACCCTTAATGAGAAAATTTTGTAAAAATAGCACGGGCTAGCCAGTTTTCGGACTGGTCATTCAAAAATAGCCGGCGTTTGCAAAGTCATTGAAAAATAGCCACTATTTTGCTGCAACAGGGACGGGTCCAGCATAATATACTGGAGATCGGTGCACTGTGTATGAACTTCCAGCATATTATGCTGGAACTCCAACACACGGAAAGTTCCAACATAATATACTAAAGATTGGAGCATATGTGTATGAACTTCCAGCATATTATGCTGGACCAGTATATTATACTGGAACTCCAGCATATTGCTGGAGTTCCAGTATACTTATGTTGGAACTCCATTATAATATGCTGGAGTTCCAGTATACTTATGCTGGAACTCCAGTATAATATACTGGAGTATTTTTCGAATTTTGAACAGTGTTTTCGTTCAGATTTATCTTTACATGAAAAGTGGCTAAATTTCGATTACTTTTGAAACTGTGGCTATTTTTGAATGACCACTTGTAAATCTGGCTATTTTTGAATTTCTCCGGAAACTTTTATAACCACACAAATACCTTGGGCCCTTTTTGACTTGTTTAGGACCACAAATTTCAAAAGTCTTTATTTTTTCTTAAACTCCGCACTCAGTCAAATTCGTTCACATAAATTGAAACGGAGGGAGTATTATTATTGGTGAAGTAGGAAAAAAATGATTCACATCAACATAAATTTGGGGGAAAAGGTAACTCTGACTAGACACAAATTGTTATTCTATATGTAATTAATAAGAATACTTCTCAAAGTAAATTAGTCAAACAAGCTACTATCTTAACGTACTTCTTCTGAAATTTGAAAATATAATCTTCGAAATTTCCAAGGGTTTCAAACCAAAATCAAAATTGTAAGCTAGCGTTTGGCCATAGATCCCAAATTTATTTTGAAAAATCTGATTTGGGTGAAGTTTGGTTTGAAGATGGAAATGTGTTTGGATATACGTTTTCAAAACGTATTTTCCAACTTTATTTTGGAAAAACATGTAAATAATTCCCAAGTTTTGGGATTTTGGTCCAATAGCTGATTTTGGGATTTGAAATTTGGAATTTGGGATTTGGCCAAAATATGGGCAAATTTTATGGCCAAACATGAGTTTTGAAAATAAATCCCAAATTTATTTTGGCAAAACTCATGGCCAAACAGGGTCTAAGTCTTTCACAACAATACTTGATACTTTGTTCATAAATTTTTTTTGTACTTGTTTGTTTATACACCGGAAGGATTTCTTGAAGATGAGTTTCAATAAGTAAAACTTTTTTCCCTCACAAAATTGAACATTTTTTAAAATAAAATACATATTCAAATGGGGTACAGTTTTAACTTTCAAATAGTACCCTTTTCTCAAAAAAAAAAAAAAAAAAAAAAAGAATCCCTTGAAATACTCATATCCAAACCTTTGCAAATTAAAACGTTGTACATCAATCATTTAACTTTTGAATCATTTTCTTGTCATGAATATTCGCTAAGCTGTACAAATATCTCCTTTATTATACCCTTTTGGATGATTGCTTTCCTTCCTCACCTTTTTTTCTTTTGGTGGGTTTATTTTCACGACTTAAAACTCTTATTTGCATGTCAGTAGACTACAATGGCCTGAAAGTTCCCCTTTTTGGTAGGTCTGCTTTTTTATTAAGGATCATGGTTTCTACAACATCCATCAATTGTCAATCTGTAGCAACAGTATTCGCCTTTTCTTTATCATTAAGATTAAGATGCTTGTTAATTGAACAGACCAAGAATCAACCTTTGATTTAGAATGATAAGTAATTGTTTGGTAATTATTTGCAGAAAGGAGCAAAAAGCTCAACTTTGTAAAAGAATCTGAATCTTTAGCAGTAAAAGATGGAGTTTCTTCTGCAAGGAGGAGAGTCTTTAATTGGGACCATTAGGATTGCTGTTTTGCCCATAGCAAAAGTTTTTACCATTTGCTTCATGGGATTTCTCATGGCCTCCAAGTATGTTAATATCTTGCCAGCCAATGGAAGGAAGCTTTTAGATGGGGTTAGTACATTCTTTTTCCTCACTCATACTACAATCTTTAACACCATAATTGTACTTCTGAGTTCATAATTTAATATATGATGTTTTATGCAGTTGGTGTTTTCACTTTTGCTCCCATGTTTGATGTTCTCTCAACTTGGACAAGCCATTACTTTTGAGAAACTGCTTCAGTGGTAAGGATTGAATACAAACTTCTCAATTTCGCAATTCCAAAATAGTTGATTCAACTGATATTCATTCATTTTATCAGGTGGTTTATCCCTGTAAACGTTGTCATTGCCACCATATCTGGTTCTATTATAGGTTTAATTGTTGCCACAATTGTACGCCCGCCATACCCCTATTTCAAGTTTACCATTATACAGATTGGAATTGGTAAGTGTTGTGCTGTTCCCTTGTTACCACTCATAATTATTCTGAATTGGTGGTGGTTATGGAGTTAATATAATTGGAGAAAATATAATTCAAGTGTCCAGAGTGCATTTATAACTTTCTTTTCAGAGTACACCTAACCTCATAATAATAGTTAGAGGTTCCTTCTATGTATGGTAGCTTTAAACATAACTAAATTTGTAATATGGCTGAAAGTTCACATATAAGCTTTGTAAATTGTTTATACTATTTATATGTGTTGGCATCTGGAATTCATTACATGATCAGATGCATTATGAATTTTTACACTTGTAATGCAGGGAATATTGGAAATGTACCTCTAGTCCTGATTGCAGCATTATGTAGAGATAATGAAAATCCTTTTGGTGACTATGAGAAATGCTCTCGAGATGGAAATGCATACATCTCATTTGGCCAGTGGGTATGCAATACTTTAGAATTAATGTTTTGGGGTCTTTGCCATCCATTTTGATTAATGTAGTTCTATATTGGATGTATCTTTTCTTTCTTGATATTTTTGAGTTCTTCAACCACTTATTTTGCATTTCTGTCATTACGAACTTTGGACGCAGTCTCGTGTCTGACTGAAACATACTTTAGTGGATATTTCGGTTTCAAGGACAACGCAAAAACTATCACTATATTCCCGATATCCTATTAGCTATGTTCCATTAGAAGCATCAATTGTGTACGAAGTCTAGATTCTTGTGGAGATATGTACATTATTAATGCATTTAGACACCAAAACATTTGATTCATTTATTTTTTGATAAATTTTGGAACAATGTTCCCTGCTAAAACGTTTAAATTTCTTATTCACGCTATGTCCTGGCTGACAGGAGTGCAGAAATCTCGTGTTCATTTTGGAGTGTATTTGACCAACCAATGGGTCTTCTTGTCCTGCTTTTTATTTTCTGTCAAATCTTCTCCTAGAAAGATAGAACCCCCAGAGTTTTCAATAGAAATTATTAGGCAATATAGTATAGTAGTTTGTGTCAAAACACATAGCTCTAAAAGTAATGACTCCTGAATCTTTCTTCAAACTTTTTTGAAGTACAGAAAACTGTTTTTGCCAAAGTTAACAGTGATTCATTGTCTTATTTGTGCTTAGGTTGGTGCAATTGTCGTGTACACCTATGTATTTCATATGCTCGCACCTCCTCGTGAAGGTACCTTTGATGTTGAAGATGGAAATAGTCACATCAAGACTCCTAACAAAGATAGCCATCCAATGGGTTGTTCCACAGAGAAAGTTCCATTACTCACAACAGCTGGCTCAAGTTCTTCAACGGAAGAAAAGGTGAGACTGTCTTGTGCTATGTTTAGATAAATTGTCCCTTTGCCAATAATGTCATTGTTACAAAAAAAATATTGCCCCTTATGCAACCGGAGAAAAGCTTTAAAATTTTGGTAGTAGGGTTCAAATCATGTCGTAAACTGATTTCTCTTGCGATATTCCTCGGTTATTCTAGTAATATGTCTAGCTTCTTGTAAACAGAAAATGCTGTTTGTTAAAGACCCTGAATGATTATGGCACTCAAGCTTCTCCTAACCATCAAAAGCTCCTTTACTCTCTTCAGAGGACTGAATTCAAATAAGGATTAATCACAACCAATTTCACATTTAGGTGCATCTGGATTTGCAATGTTTCAAGTGAATTGTGTTTAAAAATCTAGAGTAATTACATTTGGGTGAATTAGGACTCCTAATAATACCTAGATATCCAAGAGTGGCGGTTAGTGCAACCAGTTCACATTTAGGTGCATATGCAGTTTTTGCAGTGCTTGAAGTGAATTGACTTTTAAAAAACTCTAGACCATTTAATTTTTTGGTGAATAAGGATTTCAAATCCATAGCTAGATATCTAAGAGTCATGTTTAGCACATATCAAATTCTCGCTTAGCTGTTTCTGGATGAATCAAAATTGATGTGTGACTATTTTAACTGTAATCCACAAATTTCATATCCGTAAATCATGGACTTTCACTGGAATATTAAACTTATGATTTTGAGTTTTTCAAAATTCAACCTTAACTTGCTTGCACGTTGAGGCATGACTGTAGCCTTTCACTTTGGCCAATAAGAAGGCATTGATGGTGTCTCTTCATTGCTTTTAGGGGTTGAATTACAGTTGATAGATGACTGGATGCTGCCGTAGGTTCATATTTTTTTTGTTTTATGCCAACATAGTGATACAACAAAAATAATAAATATGCCTCAGTCGCAAACAATTTGGGGAAAACCAAACTAGCTGAGGATTTTTTGATGGATGATTGGATCAACCCGAAAGGATCCAATCTCTCTTATGATGTCAAGTTGTCAACATAGTGATGAAGGATAATTAATCTTTCTGTTGTTTTCTGGATCCTGGATTCTCATAATGCAATGTGATACTAATATTTTGATATGGATTTCAGTGATCCAATTTTGATTTTATTGTACTGCTACTGACGGTTTCATTGCTCGTCTCTCTTTTTTTTTCGCAGAGTAAAAGTTTCTTTAAATTTCTCTATGAGAAACTGAAACTCAAGCAAATCATTCAACCGCCCATTATAGCTTCTGTAAGTTCAATATGTTGGAATGGACACGCATGATGATTTATCTTCTTTCAACTGACTTCATTTCGGTGCTCCATAATGAATATTTTCACTGACAAAACAATAGCAACACAACAACAAATCCAGTGTAATCCCACAAAGTGGGTCTGGAATATTTTCACTGACAAATTATCTTACAAATTAATTTCAGCGGGAGAATGCTTTTTCTTACTTGTTTAACATATATCGTAAGATATTATGCTAGGGAAGGCTTCACTTTCTGTTTATAGGCAATTTTTTGCCGTTACATTTAGGCTAAGTTGCTCGGACTCTTCATTTTCGCTGCCGCATTCGTGTTGACATGACATGTGTGGGTGTGGGATCCGTACCGGATCTGGCCAACCAAGGGTCCTTTGACCAAAATCGACGAAGAAATTTGAGATGGATACAATGTTTTTTTAAATCAAAACTAAAGCTAGGGTGAAATTGAAGAAAATAGAATACCTTGTGTATAAAAATTTCTATATCAGTCATTTTCCTTTTATCTTCTTCTTGGATTCTCCTCTTGATCAATATTTTCTCTTTTTTGGAATACCTTGTAAGTTTTCCACATAATGTCTCATAATTTAGACATATTTTTATTACTCTAATTTTAGCTATTTGAATTAGTTTTAGCCGAATCTCCACACTTGTATCCGCACCTGGATCCGCATCCCCGAATCTTTAAATTTAGACCAAGAAGGATCCGACTTCTTGATCCGCAACTGTATCAGACACCCGCAACCGAGTCCAAGCAACTTAGCATTTAGAAATAAAAGAGCATCATAACCTTAATCACAAAGTTCTGAACCATGGGTGCTTACTGACCAAATGTGTAGGTATGGTCTTCTTGGGGTACTATCGAAATTTCATTTAACAGCTTCGACTTGCTGCTTGATGTGTAAATTACTGCGAAGATGCTATTAAGCAGATATACCACTTCTAATGTAACTTAAATTTTCAGAAACAAATGTTTTATCTGTATATCTAACTGTTCTTCAGATAGACGGACTTTCAATGTTTGGAACTTTGGGAAATTATGTTGTTTAGTGTTTCATTAATTCAGAGCATATGAATTGTTTTATCATTTCCACAGATCCTAGCTATTATCATAGGCTGTGTGCCAGTCCTAAGGCGACTGATATTTACTTCTGATGCTCCATTTTACTTCTTCACTGACAGCTGTTTGATTCTTGGGTAAGTTGATTTCATTGCAGAATTATTTTACGAAGCTACTAAGGTTTTGCACTACATGCAAAAGTTCCTGCTGTAATGTCAATCTATGATGTTTCTTAAGATTTTCTTTCATCCAAAGATATTCATATGAAATTGATCCTTCAAGCTATTCTCACATAAGAAAATGTCAATAGAACCTTTTTTAGGAGTATGATGATGCTTAGTGAACTAAATAACGTGCTGTCTTTGTATTACTTATTACCAGGGACGCCATGATTCCCTGCATATTGTTGGCTTTAGGAGGCAACCTTGTTAATGGCAAGTCCACTCTTTTTTCTCCTTTTCCGTGATAAAGCTCATTGACGTGTGCTTAATATCTTATGCCATGTGCTTAATATTTAATCATGTACAGGACCAGGAACTGGAAGTGCAAAGCTTGGTCTAAAGACAACTGCTGCCATTATTTTTGGGCGGCTGCTATTGGTTCCTCCAACTGGGCTTAGCATAGTTATGTTAGCTGATAAGCTTGGCTTTCTTCCCCCTGATGATAAAATGTTCAGATTTGTTTTACTTCTTCAGCATACTATGCCCACATCTGTACTTTCTGGTAAGAATACTGTTTACTTATCAATTAAAAACCTGTAGCGAGAAGTAAAATTCCACGCCAGATTGTGTGTTTAGAACTTTTTATGTCTCTTGAGTTAGCTATTTGTATGCTTTATTTCTGGTCTGGTTGGTAGGTGCTGTTGCTAACTTGAGAGGATGTGGGAAAGAGGCAGCTTCTATCTTGTTCTGGGTTCATATCTTTGCTGTGTTCTCTATGGCCGGATGGATCACCCTCTATCTCAACATACTCTTTTGAATCATAAACCAAGGAACGATTTTGATGAACATATTTATATTCCTCTCCTAAGATTCTTCCACCTTCTCCAAAGTTGCTGCTTTTATGCCATCATTGTTAATAGTTACTTGAGAAGATGTATCTAGTATGTAGGAACACCAGCTACAAACTATAAATAACTAGTTGTACAAACAATAATATTAAAATATATGTACGATACAAGCTCTGACTTAATAAATTATTGTATGTAAGAGGATTAGATATTATTTGAATAACGAATATTCGTTACATAAATACAATTATCATACCAAATATTCAACTTGATAATTTTCTTGCTTCATTATATTTGGACAACATGTAGTTTACATTTGAAAGATAGAAACAATGTCGGCTATGATTACAGATACTTCACGTCTAGAAGTTTCTGATTTGTCTTTAAGAAATTGTAACCTTCTTACTTTTATAGCCGCATACATATCAACAACTTGTCATCGAATGAAAGTTGTAACTTGTAAAAGTTGTATAGAAATTCGATTAACATAGGTCTTCCTTAGGATGGATGGTAAATCATAATTAATTTCATGGTATAAAGCTGCAAAACATAAATAAATATGGTTATATGTAATAGAGATATTTAATAATTACTAACATCATTTTTTTTTACTGATATCATTGATGCATGTACAAGCACCCTTTATCTAATTCAAGATTATGAATCATTTTATCTGTAAATTTGACAAAAGAATTTAAATTATATAATTTAATAAATATGACATGATAATCATGTCTCAAATCAAATATTCATTACACACCATGTAGGTCAATACTTTGTCTATTATTAAACTCGCATGGTAACAAAAAATTAGTTAAAATAGATCAAATAATAAGTGGCATAATATAGTTTTTAAACAAGATAGCTTAGTCACTAATCAAGATGAATCATTAACTATTTTGTACGTGAATTCATGAAAAAGAAAAAGACAAAAAAAAATACTTCTTAACTTTCAAGTGAAATATGCAACTGAAGAAAGGAGGCAAAACAGGGGGAAAATCAAATTGAAAAAAACAAGAAAAAAAGAAGAAAAAAAGAAAGAAAAGAAAGCCAAAATATTAATTAGCTAATAAATTATTCTGCTAATCTTCACATAATCTGGCCATCTAGGCAAAGTATAACAAATTAGTAAAGGGATGAAGACACTTGGTAAAATATAGTATTATTTACTATGTAATAAAATTTAGGAGCTTCATACTTTTATATAATATGATAAAACTTTAATTACTCATTCTGT